TTTGAACAAATTTCATATTGATGATTGTCATTATTAATTTTATTATAATATGTAAAATAAAATTTATTTAATTGAGGACAATAATCTTGAATTAATTGTTCTCATCGAGAAGCATGAAGATAAGTGATATCTTCATATTGAGTAATAATCGATAATTTCTTTAATTTGCAATTCATTGTTTTAATAAATCGTCTAAAATCTACAAAAACCACAATGTACATATGTAAAGAAAGACAAATGAAATTTTCTAATCGAGTCGATGATTTATTTTCAATACCATTAAAATTTTGTGTAAATTTCAAATAACGAAGTTGTGGTGTACAACAAACAATTCCAGCAAGTTCTTGGAATGTACAATAATGATCGATGAGAAGATATTCTAGTGGACTTTGTTCATTCGTAGGAATTGATAATGAGACAGATAAATTTCTTGTATTTGGTATAAATTCATAATATTTTAATTTTGAAAAGCTAAATACTAATTGATAAATATCTGTTAAATGAATTGATTCATCAAATATGTCGATAGTTAATTAATAAGAAAAGACGTATGAATATTCCTGAACTGATCCTGATTGTGCAAAAATGTCAAAAATCACGTATTGATTTTTGTGTTGCAGCGAAGTTGATGGATCAGTCAATGAAGTGATACGCTATCCATACCACGTACTGCTAGTAGTAGTTAACATATATATGTGCGAAGAAACAAAGAAAGATAGAAAATTAAGAAACACATACGGATAATAAACTTATAGCACAACTTGAGTCTATACAATAGAGAAAAGAATGAAAGTTTGTTGATCGATAGTTACGCAGAAAATTCAAAATGAAGTACTTTAAGTAATCAAAAGAGAATATATACCATCAATTAATCGTTGAAGAAAAAGGACAGGATGGTTTTGCTTGTTTTTCTTAAGGCAAAGATTATAAAAAAATAATTTGTTGCTTCAATGTTCTTGAAATTGATTATAACACCGTTTAAAAAATATTTGTTCATGAATAAAAATAAATAAATAATTCATAAGAAGAATTTAATCAATTAATATAAAAGAAAGATAGAGCCGGTTTACGTTTATCCGATAATTATTTATAATAAACATTTTTGTAAAAATGTCATATACCTTATTTTCATTGATTATATCGTAAACAGACCAAAAATAGTCTCACTAAAAACCATGAAAACATAATATAATCTATAAATAGATATTTAATTAATCCTACCATATTTGAGAAGTTTGTTCAACAATTGTGCCTCGTTTATAATAGATTATAATCAATATAACGTTCATCATATAACCGACATTATATAACCTATACTTTTTTTAACCTAAATATAGAATGAAAAATTTTTTTTGTTAACCACTTATCCCCTCTTGATCATTGGAGTGACTATTCGTAGAACGATTAGAGAAAATAAAGAAAACATTGAATTAAAAAACTTTGGAAATATGCGTTGTAGCGAATTTCATAAATTATCTATTTATAACGAAAATATTCTATGTCCTTTCGATTCATCTTGAAAAAACAGAAGATCAGTTACAATAATCGATAACGTTTGAAAAAACTGCCAAAGTTAGACTTTTTTTTCTTTTTTCTTTTTAAATAAAATGTTTTTTCTACTAACAGAAAAGACATATGATGGAAATCTATTCTGTGATATATAACGATGATAATCTCTACTCACTAGTATCCATAACATTTCAAAGTTTCACAAAACACCAGGTAACGAAACAGATAGTCAAATGTAGAATTGTCACTGGGAATTTTACAGAAAAAAAAACAAAACTTTAGTTTTTCATCACATACAGCTCGGACATGGACGTTTTTTTTCCACATAAGACAATATGGTAAAGCAAGCCATTATTTACAAAATGAGACATCTAAGGAGCTATCTACGAGAGATTTTACAAGAACTGACTCAACGATAGAATTTTTCTCAAGTCATTCGTCCGTCAATGGTCACGAGAATGACTAAACAAGACGTGTGATTTAGAGATATATCGTAAGAGATCAATATTCTATCCCGATGGTTATTTCGTTAGTCACTCTTATAAAATCATCCTATCAATGATAATGGATTTATTTCTTCAAAACAATATAACAGACAAATAATCAATTATTTACTCTATCAATACCTTATCGACTAGGATAAAATTCATCTTCATATAGATATTCTTCTTCCATACGTTAATCAACGATCTAGTTCTTTAAATAGAACATACATTAATAATAATGATTAACACATTAGAAAATTTTCTTCTTTTTTCTTTATATTTATTACCATTATTTATGTAAGTCTTCATTAGTTTTTGAACGTAATTCATCTACATAACACCAACATCTTATAAAAATTTTCATTTTAATTTTAGTTAAAAAAAAACCATCATATTAAAAGAAAAATGGTAGCATGAATAATTTTTGATTGTTATAGATCATCTGCTCTATCGAAAAATTCCATAGGATAACTTTGTTGGATTGTTGTTACTTTTCTACTAAGATCAATTGATGGTTCTTATTTTGGTCGAATATCAGTTGGTTGCCAACGTATTTGTTCAAGAGTTGCTAAACATGATCTTACACTAATAAATGTATATTTCTCGGAATTAATTCTCCAATCAATTATCTTTAATAGATCGATTTCATCTAAAAATAATTTATCTGCTATTGTTATATAATTATCATTTTCTAATAGGAATTTTTATTTTCTATATTCTTATCACAATGAAATAATAGACAAAGAATTTTCTTTTTTTTTCTCTTTTAGAACAATTAGAAAAATAAAAAAGAAATTAAACTCTACATCGGATTAATATTAATTAACGATGAAAAACTTATTTTATCGATTTAGTTAACAATGACAAAAACGAAACAAGGCAATCGAATAGATTCATTGAAATATTGAACGATAATAACATTGAACGATAAAAAAAAATAAGAAGAAAAACAATTAAATAAAAAAAGAAGCTCGTTTATTTTTGTTTTTGAAAATGAGATTGTTAAAAATAATATTGACAAAGAGATAAAAGAAATTATTATATTTATAATGATTTTACTATATAAAATATAAAAATTTTTTCACCTCGTACTCGATTTGTTTCTCAACAATTCCAATAGACAAATGGCTTCTTTAATAATATATTTTAATCATTAGGAAAGTAAATAAATCAATAAATATTTACAATTTATATGTTAATCGTTCGATATGATCAACTCATTTAAATTTGTTCGATCCGAACATAATACTAGAAAAATAATTTTTTTTTTTTTTTCATTAATAATAACAGAAAAAAACAATTAAATCATACTTATTATGTCTTAGTACAAATCTTCCTTGTCGAGCACATTCTCAGATTAAATCAAAATCTATACTATTCACCCTGATTGATTCTAATAATTCGCGTCTTTTTCATATTAACAATCATGGAGAAATGAAAGGTTCATATATGTATAAATCACCACCTTGGAATGCCATTCTGTTTGGTTCCAATATATTGGCTATACAAACAGAGAATTGTTTGAATTTTCATTAAATTTATTGAGAAATTCTTATATTTTTTCATTGATAATCATACGATTTGTACACGTCCTATTTCATCATGTTTTTTTTTATTCATTATGATGATTTATAATATTTACTTTGTGTCATAGCGAAGAATATTAACTCCATGAGAGTGAACATAATTTTGAATACAATTTTCTATTCAGTTCTCAGTCTTCAATCAAACTTCTGTTATCCTCATCTACGATTTCTTTTGTCTTCTAATGATTGTCTATAGTTTATTAAAATATCATTAGACTTTGAGTGGAATAATAAAAAATTTCATTAAATTTTTATTTTGATCATGAGATACATTCTATTCTTGTCTTTTTCTTCAATGTAGGAAATGAAATGAAATGAAATGACAAGTTATTGAAGGAGAAGAAAAAAATATATATCGTCCAATATTACGTCATGTTTGTTTGTGATGAACTTTTTCATCAGATGAATTCATTTTGAGAGAAAAATATAAACATATTTTTTTGGCATTCACAACTGTCTGACAAATAAAATATGGTAACAACTCAAACATTGAACATTCTCTAATACAACTGACGTTCACGTTCTTTTTTTCAAAATAAAAAAGAACGTAGTTGCTTTTCTTTTTCTATACCGAAAAATAAATCGTGTTATTATCAATAACTTGAATATTCCTCATTGAAATTTGATATTTTTCATAATATAATTCTTTTCTATTTCAAAGCAGAATTAGTTAATTATATGTAAGTTATGATATCTGACATTTTAAAAATTTTTGGTCATCATATATATATTTTCTTTATTGACAGTAGAACATTACGAATTATTCTTTTTGTAGAATTATATAGATTGAGATAGAAGTGTTTTTTCATTGATATTGAGATCTCACAACTATTAGTTATTCAGAATAAAAGTCAATTTAAAGTTATTGTATTGTGTCTTCTGTTCAGGGTTCCCGATTGTTTTTAAGAGTGGGAGGGGATAAAAATTTGGCCGAAACTGTAGAAATTTTGGCACAAAGTGCTTTCATTTGACTTTCTGGCAGATACGAAGCAAAGATTGCTAAAAGTATAGACCTCCTCCGAGATTTTGTTGGCAGAAAGTGTTTTTGTTTGACTTTCTGTCAGAAAAAGAAAAAAGAGAGCTTAAAAACCAGGTTTCTGTCATAGTTTACCATGCATTTGCAAAAAAATCTTCCAGAAAGTCGGACACTATTTCAATTTTTGTGGGGGGGGGGGGGATCACCCCCATCTCCTTCCTAATCGGTAACCCGGCTTCTGTTACATAATTTGATTAAAATCCGACGCCCAGAAAAAACTGAATATGAATTTAAATCTAGATGATTATCAGAAGAGATATTTAGCTCTTTAATTATCATTAGTAAATGATAACTGTCCCATTTTAGTAAACTAGGCAATTTATGGTAAAATTACAATTACTTTATTATAATTTTTTTTACATTTGAATTATATTTTTAGATAAAATGGTTAATAAATTAGAAATATTGCCAAATGAAATCTTCTTACATATATTTTCTTATTTATCATGGGATGATATATTAATATCACTATGGTCAATAAATGAACACATTAATTCTCTTATTTGTTCGATATTTTCAATAAACAAATATGGAATTATATTTAATAAACCAGGTTTATCATATAAAAAATGTTCATCGATATTATTTCCATTAATATTTAATTCATCATCTCTTTGTTCGAATATAAAATCCATGCATTTCGATGGAATTTATTCAATTCCTTTTGATTTTATTTATGAAAAAGTTTTTTATCATAATGATAAACAAAGAATTTGTTTTCCTAATCTTAAATCGCTTTATATAACTAAATGTTTATTATCTCAATCAATTCTTCAAATCTTATCAACATTGATCAACTATCAGTTAGATGAACTTCTATTAACATTTCATGGAGATATTAATGAAATATTTGATCATACCGGAGATGTGGTATCTAATATTTCTATTGCAGGTAAATAATAATTCATTGAAGGAAATCTTTTAGTAATTTTTCGAAAAAGATATAAAAATTGAATGTTAATTTTATTCTTTTTAATAATTAAATAGAAGATAAAGAAAGAATGTTTCAACAACTTTTATGTCAAATATTTTCTGATCAATGTCAATTAACATCTTTGAAACTTAATATTAAAGAAATAATTGATAGTGTTGATCAATGTTTAAAATCACATCCTTCTCTTCCATCAAAAACAGTTTCAGATGGATTACAATCTTATTGTATAACTTTACGTCATTTGGATATTCATTTGAATGATGCAGATTTTTTGGAAGATATTATTGAACGTATACCTAATGTTGAACAATTATCAGTTGATCTTAAACAATTACAACGTTATTGGAATCCCACTGATTCCGAGCTTCAAAGTTTAATACTTCGAAATGGAAATTGGTTTAATAAAGTAAAATAAATATTATATTTAGATTTTCACCATTTGTCATGTGAAAAAATTTTCAATATAATCTCGTCTTGCATGTCAGTGTTAGTTAACCTACTTCAATCGAAGTATAACACCACCACTAGTAAATCCTTAACCCAAAGGCAATTTGTCAGTTGACAACCTTATCACTTATAAGAAATTTATCATTAAAATAAATCTCTAGTAAATACTAAAAATTGTTTTTCACTAATTTCACTTCAAAATAAATATTTGTCACATGTTAATAATAAACTAGATCAGTTCGTTATTTTCTTTGTGTCCATTCATAGTTGAACTATTGTATTTTTAATTATTAAAGAAAGTTGTAATTAATTATTTTTGTAAAATAGGTACCAAAATTGAAATGTTTTACATTGAAGAGTTGTGTTTATAATGATCTTGAGTTTACTTATTTAAAATGGCTTCTTAATAATATTAATCATGTTACAAAACTTGATATTCATTTATATAATGACGATGTTTGGGGAAAAGATCAAACAATATGGAAGTCTATTATTGATGCAAATTTTATTCGTCAATATTGTTTACCTGATGAAATTATTAATCTTCGAGATTTTCAGTTTTATATTTGTATACGGTATCAATTGTTAATAAGTGATATTGAAAAAATAAAAAATTCTTTTCAAATTCATCCTTTTTTTATTGATCATCAATGGACAAATGTTGAATGTTTTTATCAGCAGAAAGGATCATATCAACATATTTTTTCTTCTACTTTGAGAAAATTACAATTTTTTGATTCTTTGATGTAAGATATTTGATGTATAAATTTTTTTTAATCTAATTATATTCTTGTTTTATTCAGGGATTATCCGATTCTTGTAGAATGGTTACCTGTTCATATTAAAATTTATTTGCGTCCATCAATTTATTTATTTTTTGAGCAATTCAATAAATTATGTTCTAATGCTTCCTGTATCACATTTATTTCAGGTAAATATTTTCAAATGTTGGACTCTTGGAAAGTATGTTTTATTACGTGGTATTATATGATTTATAATGAAAATGAGTTGATAGCAGAAATTTGTTTATGATATATCTAAAAGGTACTTACGTTCAATAGGTGTTTTCTTTTTTTAGCTATTAGTTTGTCTTTAATAAAGTATGATAAAAATCAGGTTGAATAATATTTATGTAAACAAATTAATGAAGTTTTTTTTCATTTCATAGGATGCTCTCCTGAATATTTAGAAACATTAATGTCATTGTCAACATTATTCCAAACCCAACAACTAAATTTAAATAATATTCAATTTCGAAATGTTACAAAACTTCGACTTGGAGATATGTATAATCGTCATTTTAGTATGTATACATTTTCTTGTTTACAAACTTGACAAAAAATATACTGAAATGTTTTGTTTTATGAACTTCATATCAGCTCAACTCTATATTTAATAGTTTTAGATCGTTTAAATTTACTATACAGTCAAATTTCTTTCTCGGAAAGTTCAAAGCCTTCATCTAGTTCATATGAGTAGNTAATCAATTAATATAAAATGATATATATAGCCGGTTTACGTTTATCCTCTAATAATTGATAATAACCATTTTTATAAGAACGGTAATATAGGTTATTTTCCTTGATTATACCGTAAAAGACGAAAACTTGTCTCACTAAAGAAGTCGAAAACATAATATAATCTCTAAATAGATTTTTAATTAATCATACTGTATTTGAGGAGTGTTGTTGACCAGTTGTTGCCTCGTTTATAATAGATTATAATCAATATCATCTTCATCATATAACCGATATTATATCAGGTATACTTTCTTCAACCTAAATATAAAATCAAAATTTTGTTTTTTTTAAACCACTAATGCCCTCGTTGGTCATTCGAGTGACTATTCGTAGAACGATTAGAGAAAATAAAGAAAACATAAAATTAAAAAATGTTTGGGAATATGTCTTCTAGTCAACTTGATAACACTATCAATTTATAAGAATATATTCTTGTGTCCTATCGATTCATCTTGAAAAAACAAAACGATCAGTTACAACAATCGATAACCTTTGAAAAAACTGACAAACATTTGACTTTTTTTTTAAATAAAATGTTTTTTCTACCAACAGACAACGACATATGATGGAAATGTATTGTCAGATATACAATGATAATAATGTCTACTACTAGTATTCATACCATTTGAAGTGTTTCACAAAATGCCAGATAACCAAACAGATAGTCAAATGCACAATTGTCACCAGGAATTTTCCAGAAAAACAAAACTTTACTTTTTCACCACCTACAACTCGGAAATGAAGTTTTTTCGTATCACACAATATGGTAGAGCAAGCCGTTATCTTCAAAATGAGACATCTTCGAGCTATCGACGACGGATTTTAGCCGAACTAAGTCAACTATTGAATTTTTCTCAAGTCATTTCGTTCGTTAATGGTCGATAGAGAATGACTAAACAAGAGTGTGCTTTATCAATATATCGAACGAGATCAATATTCTATTCCGATGGTTATTTCATTAGTGACTCTTATTAAATCATCCTATGACGAGGTGAACGGGTTCATTTCTTCAAAGGAAAATAACTGATAAATAATCAATTATTTACTTTATCAATACGTTCGTGGACTAGGAAATAATTCATATTGATTTCGATATTCTTCTTCCATAGTTAATAAACGATAACGTTCTTTCAATAGAACATATATTAATAACAATGATTAAACATTAGAAAATTTTCCTCGTTTTTTGTTATATTTATTACCATTATTTATCTCAGTCTTCATTACTTTTAAACGTAATTCATCTAGATAGCACCAACGTCATATACAAAATTTTAATTTTAATTAAAAAAAAAAACATCATATTAAAAGAGAAACACTACCGTCAATAATTTTTCATTCGTATTAATTATCTGTTCTATCGAAAATATTCCATAAAATAACTTTGTTTCATTGGTGTTACTTTTCTACCAAGATCAAATGACGATTCTTCTTTTGGTGAAATATCAGTTGTTTGACAATGTATTTGTTCAAGACTTCCTAACACATGATCTCACTTTAATAAATGAATATATCTCGGAATTAATTCTCCAATGCATTATCGTTTAATAAATTGATTTTATCTAAATATAATTTTTCTCTTATTATTATCTAATTGCCATTTTATAATAGGAATTTTTATTTTCTATATTCTTATTACAATGAACTGACAGACAAAGAATTTTTTTGTTGCCCTCTAGAAGAATTAGAAAAACAAAAAAAGAAATAGAACAAAAACAATTAAATACAAAAAAAAGAAAAGAAACTCGTGGTTTTCTGTTTTTGAAAATGAGATTGTTAAAAATAATATTGACGAACAGCCAAAAGAAATTCTTATATTTACAATGATTTTAATATATTAAATATAAAAATTTTTTCACCTCGTACTGGAATTCTTCCTGTCCAATTCTAATACACAATATTAGATCGTTTAATAAAACATTTAAATCATTAGGAAAATAAATAAATCAATCAATATTTACAATTTATATGTCAATCGTTCGATATAATCAACTTTTAAATTTCTTCAATCCAAAATAACACTATTGAGNTAGATTTCACAGTATAATTTTGTTATTCAGACAGTCTAGGATGATTGATTTGTATGATTCACTTTTTGAAGTACACATAACTCTCGGATTTAAATCCGAAGTTTCCGCACTTATTTCTCTCTCATATCAAACACCAAAGTTTCCCCCATATAAAGAGTTTCTCGTAATCTAATCGATACTGATGTCAAATACTATAATTATCTGTTTGATTAGAATTCGACAACTATTAGAAACATGATTCTCGAAATATTACTGATGATCATTTTTCCGTACGTGCTCTACGCGCAGCATCGCGTGCATCAAGTGCCAGGTGCACAAGGTATGTTCTAAAACACTGGCAAAAAAGATTCGAAAGCAGAGTTATATATGAGTAGCGATTGAGATGCTGAAAATATATGTCTATGTGATATGATTTGTTTAAAAATTTGTTTTTAGCTACAATATATCAGCCAATCAATCCTGTACCAACCAATAGGATAGCTGCACCTATACCTACTGTAACCGCTACAAGCCACACAGAAGAAGTGACTACTCTAGCTGTGACACCAGTATGGTACGAGTCGGTCAAATTATCCCCTGCAAACAAAATACGTTTGCCTGCTCATTACAGAAAAGACTCCCCAACTGATGTTCGTACGTTCGAATGCTTATCTATCTACAGGTCGATGAAAATAAAAGACCAGCTAATCGATTTTGTTAATGAGCCGTTTATTGCTACTATTGATAACACTGAGACAGTCGTGGCTGTGCTTAATGAACTTGTTCAACAGCTTGGTGCCCGACTCACTTTTACGGAAAAGACTTTTCAATACGATGACAGCGACTATCGAACGGCCTGTGGCGTAGGTAATCTTGGCAGTATTCATTCAATGATTGCAGCAGGACAAAATATACAGACAGCAAAATTTAAATTGCATTTGAAACTTAACTATGATGACGTTACATCGTCGGCTAAAACATTGCAAGATTTCACAGTCGCATTTATTAGTGATCTTGCAGCTGCTGTCGGATGCAAGAAAGAATTTATCAGAGTGTTCTCTGTTAGTCGTGCGTCTTCAATAAATATCGAATTCGGTATCACAACAACAGAATTCCAACAGACAAAACTCTTAGCGGAGAAGTTTAAACATGCATTAAATCGCATGTCACCCAGGCAACGACAAGACATTCTCTAATATTTGATTCCACAATCTTATGAATATCATTGGCAGCCCACACTCAGCTTTTTGCAATTGCAAGAATCAGATTTTGATCCTCAATACAATCGTGACTATCCTGACCCGGAAGAAGACATGCGAGGCGGACGACCCTATTTTCTCCCAGAAGGTTGGTACCGCCACGCGTTGAAAGTCGATAATAAATATGGGACGGATCAGATATGGCTGGGTATGGATAATTCACCGGGTGAGTGGTCAGTCGCTTATCATGGAACGATATTCGGGTGCAGTACGAAATATCGTAGATAAGGGTCTGAAACACGAATTCGTTACTGCTGATGCATGTAAAGAAGACGCAGAAAGTCAAAATCCTTCAATCCCAAAGGTAAATGGATTGTATGTGGCAACACATTGCGAGGGAGGAGCTTCAATTTACACTGAAGATTTTGAAGTGCAAGATTCATCAGGCACGTCTGGAAACTTTCAAGTCGTATTTCAATGTCGAGTCGAGAATGGGAAATTTACGGAACATCCTGAGCCAGTCGAAATTGGACTCGCACTAAGAGTGTTTGATGAAAAAGCTATTCGACCGTACGGCTTACTCTTGAAAGAGGTTTAGATCGAACAAGTCGCCGCGTAACAAAGTATAAACTAGCAAAATCAAAACCTTAATCGTTTTTCTTCTGCGAATGCGACAAGACACTGAGAGAATGTGGGTATGAGAATGGGTACGGTTTGGGATGTGGGTGTGTCTTTGATCTTCGTCGACACGTACACGTACACGCACACGCACACCCACATTCACACACACAACACGTCCACATCCACACTCACAACACGCCCACATGCACATCCACACCCACACACTCATGCGAGTTTCATATTTCAGTTACAAAGAGACTCTTATCATAAATTATTTTTAGAGAATACTTTTGTTCACATGTGTAAGATTATCTCAAATTCCTTTTCATAGTTATTTAATAGAAATTAAAAAGCTTTCGATCAATGTTATTTTGTACAAACAACTATTTTATTAGAATTTTATGTAATTCTGTCTTGAATTTACAAATTATATTTTTATTCAGATTCAAAGTCGGCGCTGACTTCCAATGATAGCGCAAGAAGCTGTAAAATATCAGAATAGGCACATCAGTTTTATTTACCATTCGTAGGAAATTTAACAGTTGAGAAATACTTAAATTAAGCATCGTAGTATGACCTATATTTGTAATTAGATGTTCATTTTGTAATATGTATAGATCATCACGAGATAGAAAGCAACTTATTTAGTTGGAACACGTTTGTAGAAACGCAGATATGTCTTGTTGGCACAAAAAGACGTTGAATGACGACGAAATTGGGTGTGGATGTGGGCGTGTGGATGTGGGTGTGGGTGTGGGTGTGGGTGTGGGTGTGGGTGTGGGCGTGTGGGTGTGGATGTGGGTGTACTTGTGCTACGCGTGTGGATGTCGGTGTGGGTGTCTTTCTTTCCCTGGCATTCACACCGTACACCCTCATCTACACACCACACCCACACCCACATTCACACACAGAACAACACACACATACACCCACCCACACTCTCTAGATCTTGTTCAATACTGTATCCATTGGACGAAAAATCCTAA